AGAGAGAGAGAGAGAGAGAGAGAGAGAGAGAGAGAGAGAGAGAGAGAGAGAGAGAGAGAGAGAGAGAGAGAGAGAGAGAGAGAAGACACCAAATCGATTGGCATATGACACTTAGCTCAAACGGAGTCGAACCTCCTCCAATCATATTCTGCAGCAATGGTAGGCGGAGAGTGAACACCATTTCCCTTCCAAGTCAAGGCGATGTGCTGCAAATCAATTCTCGCATGGGCTGTGTATAAAAGCAGCACAGTATCTTTGATACGAAATGACTGAATAATAAATTTACTGTTAAAACTTAAGACTTAAAAACCTCGATGGCCTTTCATCTTGGCTGCTGTTCCACCCCATCAGGACTCGTCATTTTATTCTGCACATAAGTCGACCTTCAGCTCCTGATTATCCCACCTGCCTGCCCACTCCGCTTTCTTTTTTTTTTTTTTTTTTTTTTTTTTTGGACCATTTCTCGATTTATGTGTGTCATCCTTGCGCAGGGGGCAGGCTAATCTTCTCTGTATCGTTCCAAAAACTTCCGATTTTAACGGATGTCCCGAAGGGACCCACTCAGTATTTCAACATGCGCAACCTGAGATGATTTGCGACATCTGGATTACAGATGGCAGGGCAATGCAATACTGCCAAGCAGTCCCAGCCAATCAAAGGAGCATGGAGGATGCTCCTTTTTTTTTTTTTTAAGGAAAATTTTCATGCCCAGCCGGGCAGCCGGCCGTGACGCCCAGCAGGGTCTGACGCCCGGAGTACCTGGGCGTGCACAAAAAAAAAAAAAAAAAAAAACTTCTTTTTTTTTTGCCTTTCTGCCCTCTCCCAGAGAACCCCAAATCCGGGCTCTTTTCAATTTTTGAGAGTTGGCTGTCGAGGGGTGGGAAGGGGAGTGTAAAGTTGTTTTAAAGGGGCTAAGGGGGTTTAAAGGGGGGCCTTTGTGTGATTTTGTTATTTTCTTTTTAAATCTCTGATTCGGTGAGGAATTCTGATGCGACCCTCAGCCAAAAGTTGTTTCTAACTTGCTATTGCAATTCTACACAACATTTTTTTTCTGGAATCGTTTTTTTTTTTTTTTTTTTTGCTGGGCCTGCCCGGAACCCTGCCCGGGGGTCATGCCCGACCTCTGACAGTTCATTGAAATAAATTACATGCATTTTTAATTTTTAATTTATTATTTACATTGAAAGAGAGGAGATGGACTGGTTGCATGAACTTACGCCCTAGCAAGCGATGTCGAGCAATCGAAGATATAACCCCCGGTCAGAGGACCGAATCCTTCCGCCTTTCCACTTTCTGCGGCCAGGAATCACCACAGGCCAAACACTTGTAGTATTCAGAAAACTGAGTTACCTCTCTCTCTCTCTCTCTCTCTCTCTCTCTCTCTCTCTCTCTCTCTCTCTCTCTCTCTCTCTCTCTCTCTCTCTCACCACAGGCCAAACACTTGTAGCCAACCAACAAAGACAAGGAGGAGGTTTCTGTTTTCTTTTTCTATTATCCAAAATATGATTTTATAGCTTGACTTGGATTCAACTCTCTCTCTCTCTCTCTCTCTCTCTCTCTCT